ACACGATGTCAATAGTCTGTCTCGGTCTGTCTCCTCCGAAGCCATACGGGCAATCATACACACGATATCAGTTTTTTTCCATGTTCAAAAACCATCAAAAACACACCATTTCCCAAACACAAACGGGCCCCTTCCCCCAAGCTAAAGCTTAAGCTGTTTATCTAGCAGCTGATCTTCCAGTCTACGCGAGCCAACACAACGCCTCAGCTCCTTCGGTGCGGGCGGATTTATAGGTCTTAAAAGATTGCCGTTCACAACCCCTTGTAGGTCCTGATATGTCAGGAAATATATCTTAGTTCTCAACACGTTCTCCATGCGCAACAACTATGCAGCATTCCACAGCGTTGAAGCCTTTCCGCAGGCGAAGTCCAAACAAATCCAACAAAAGGAACGCCCAACGGTCTGCATTCCTCGTAGAGTCTGCAGTCGTACGAAGAGTCCTATGCCCAAAGCCACCTTGGAGCATTGTACGATTTGACATTCAGATCTCGGTCACACAAACAAAAGAATACAACCCCTTCTCTTTCACACCAGCTCACTGTGATCTGTATTTTTCTTACCAATCAAACCAATTGGCACTTTTTGGAGGACGGCGTTTTAATACGTTTTTAGGATTTGCTCTGTTTTAGGATGTGTTTAGTTTAGTATTTGATCCGAGGAGTTGCTTGGAACTGAACGGCATTTTGACTCAACTGATGTGCGAAATTGGTCAAACCTCCTGACTTGTGCCAACTGTGTTGGGTCCATCTGCGCACGTGGTCACCACATTCCGACGTCATCCATGGACAAACAGGTCAGCGACTGGTTGTTGGTGGCGTCCCTTTGAGGCATTCAGCTTGAGCTGGGCGACCCAGCTAATGATCTTCAGACAGAAACTGTTTTTTTCGGAAGCTTCCTACGGAAGTGAAAACCGGAAGCTTAACCTCCTCCCAGGGCCCTGGTCATGGACGTGGAAAAAGGGTGGCGAAACGATGACCATTGGACCAGTCCCAGGTGTTTTCCCTCCACGAGGAAACCACCAAACACGAGGAATGACCAGTTGCGGTGAAGCGGTGAAGCCTTCGGAGTTGAAGCAAACATGAAAAACACCTTTTCGTTTACTGTTGCGACGAAAGCAGGGAATGAGTGCGACTCGCAGGGAATATGAGGGTGGCTGAATCCAATACAATCTTTATTGGGGTCTCATTCTTCCCTTGTTCCCTACTAAGCACCAGTCAGTTTTTGGAGGATGTACCCAAATAGCTCATAATAGCTCATACATGACCCACTTGGCTGCCAGGGGGATGTACATAGTGAGAGAATTCTAATTCCCTTCTCACTCCTGCATCAATGCTTTTGAATATCCACTTCCAGCTTTATCCTCACTGCCTAAGGCACCTCACCAACCCGACCTCGTTCTCCACTGGCCCGGTCGAAGCCAGGTGAGCGAAGAACTCCGGCTCACATGCCGAACTCGCTGAAGAAGTCATCAGGTTCAGACAAACCCTTCTTGGCTGCGGCCTGGAGCGCAGCAGGCTGCGGAGGCAAACGTGGCGTTTTGACGCACAAGGTGGGAGACGCAGCAAAAAGCACACGCTCGGCCCCCGTCCCCACAAAACTAGAGCGGATCAAAGCCCGAACGGACTTATTCCTAGGAAATCCTGAAATTTGACATACCCTGGATCGACAGGTCCATGTTGCAGCACTTTTGAAACAACCTCAGGGTAGAGGGTCGTTCGTCCATTCGCAGCGATGAATGGCGGACCTCCGACCTCGACCTCCATGGGCGGATTGGAAGATCATCGTTCGTAAGTTGATCTACGGGCGCTACAAGGACGCTACTTGGGGCTCCTGGCCTTGCTACTAGGAGCAAGAAGCTAGTAGAAACAAGAATTAGAATTAGAATCCAAAGGAATTTGAACAAAAATCCCCAACATCTGTAGCCCGTCCTCGCTCTGTAGCGCCAAACGTAAGCCCTTGTGGGTCTTGGGTCTTGGGTCTTGGTGTGGTGCTTATATATGTGTACACGGAAACGGACATGGTGCACAAATGTATAGTGTGAAACCGCTACAATGGAATATGCTGGAATGCTGTACAAACTTATGGGCTAATGACTAATGTGTTTTTCAAACGAATGATGAATTCAAGTCAAATTCCTAGTGCAAGTAGGGACCTGGATCTCTATTGGATATTTTTCGGGCTAATGGCATAGCGTACATGTTCCAAAACGGGCATCTTTGTCTTGTGGAGTTGAGGCCACTGGGATATGACGCCGATGTTTCCTTGCGTGACTGGAGATTGCCAGCGAATGAGCGAAAACTCCTGGGTCGTTCGGATCTACGAATTCACCAGGGTTCGGACTTGAAAGTGGTTTGGCGCCCCATGTACATCCATGCGTCGGACCTCGGAGGGTCGTAGCTCACACTCCCGGGCCAACGTGGATGGCGCCCCGAGTCGACTCAGAGGACCATGAGTTTTCCTCATGCCAAACAGGTGGTGTTCACTCCGCTTCCATGTGAGTGTTCCTCGGAAATTGGAACATCCTCCACATGTGTTGAAGAATCACATGGGGCATCGTTTTCATGCATGGCGTGTTTCAACATCCGACCGGATCATCCGGGATCGTGTTTGGATGATCTGAGCACATCCCCGCCGTGGCGGAACCTCCCTCCTCCCCGCCTTCGCCTCCTTGGCCTTGCTGGGTGATGTCTCAGGACTGGCCGAAGGGTTGGAAGCCGCGCCCGACGCGCCCGACGCGGCGTAGCCACCCGAGGCAGCACCCAAGGAGGCAGCAGAGACTGCCTGCGGTGCAGGAACCAGCCGCGGTTCTTTGGCAAATCCGTGTTTAAAAGGTTTTGAACCAATTAGACTTCCAGAAGGCAGGGTTTGACCAATGTCAAGATGAAAAAAAGAGGTGGATCAACTTGCTTCAGGGCTTCTTCCGCTGGTCCACCTTCTTCGGACTGTCGCTGGCTGCTGGCGCTGGCGCCGAGACGGAGAGCCTCAAAGGAGTGGAGTGGAGGTCGATCGAGCGGATGAATGGATCGGCAGCTCAGTTTTTCATTCCGTTTTCCATCTTCTGTGCCGTTTCGGTTTTGTCAGTGTCTGACAGGTGCGTGAACCCCACAAGACTCATGCCCTTAACTTATAGACTATATTATATATACTGCAGATTCTGCCTTTCGGATTTTCATGAACCAGCAAGATGAATCGAGCGCCACATCAGGTCGGGGTCAGGTTCGGCAGCTCACGCGGGCCGTGGGTGGAAACGAATCTGTGTTTGGGAAGTACATCAAAGCGAACATCCGAAAACCCCCCAACCTCCCTCCCAAACCCATAGTTTCTGATCCCGTAGTTTCTGAACCCGCTTATTGAAAAGAAAAACTGAAACTGATCTAGAGTGGCATGAACAAGGCACAAATAGTTTCTGAAACCAACAAAATGAGTTTCGGAACCCGCCAGAAATAGTTTCTGAACCCGGAAAACATAGTGTCTGAAACCGACAAAACCAGTTTCTGAACCCGCCATAGTTCCTGAACCCAGCAAAAAAAAGATAGTTTCTGATCCTGACAAAACAAGTTTCTGAATCCGCCAAAAGCAGTTGCTGAATCGTAGTTTCTGAGTTTCTGAACCCAAGTTTCTGAACCCATGGTGTTAGTTTCTGAACTTGACTTTGTTCCGCCAAATCATCTCTCCGGGAGGGCATGGTCGATTGGAGACAGCTGGCATGCCGTGCATCCATCGATACATGTCGTACCCCTCTTGGCCTGTGCGCTAAGAATTAATTACAGTATAGACCCTCAAAGGTGAAGGCTTCAGAGGGTCCAAGCCCCTGCCATACTCAGTTTGGAGGGTCCAATGGTGGTTAAACAACAACCACAACCACCACCACCACCACCACCACCACACCGACACGTGCACCCTCGGTTCGAACCTCACCGACACGTGCCCCGGAGATTGGCTGTTGAGTCTCTCCGAGGTTCGAACCAAGAAAACACGCGCACCAGACACGCTCGGCGCGTTCCAACACACTCAGCGCGGACCAGACACGACATGCCCATCTCCCTGGCCATGCGATCCATGTCTTCCTGCGTCACCTCCTTCGGTGCCTCCTCCGACGTGAGTCCACCGAGAACAAAACGCACCGAGTCGACTGGCCGACTTCATGCAAGGTGTCTGGGAGGAAGCCATGGGAAGAGCTGGCTTGTTGGTTGGTATATATTGGTGTGGTGATGAAAGGTTGGTAGTGCCCCTGTCTTGAAACGCATCAGTTTGGAGATAACATCAAGATCAGAACTCTGGCACCAGGCATGGCTCTTCCAGAGATTGGAAGGAGCTTCAGTGGCGAATAGGTGTCCTCCTCACAACTAACGAAAGGGTCGCATCGTTGTTGCAATGGGATCCCGACCATTTTCCTGGAATATGTGCCAAGAGGTCTGCCAAGAGGTCTGCCAAGAGGTGTGGTAAGGTGTGTACCTTCCGGTTACCGCAGGAAGGTCACTGCCTCCAAAGGGCGGTCGTCTCTTGGAACTTAAACCCTCCCAATATGGAGAGAACACCAAGGCTCGACGTCTTTGCGCAAAAATATGCCTGATAGACGATGTTAGGTTGGTGGCAAGTTGGGTTCCGAATCCCGTCAGTCATGATCCAAATGTCTGACGAAAATGCAGTAGTTGAGACAATATCTGTGTGTGTGTGTGTGTCTGTGTCTGTGTCTGTGTGTGGTGGGGAGGGGTGTTCCACCTACTTCCGAAGGTACTTGGAGCCTTAGGGGTTGATCATCGGATTGTTGCTGACAACTCGTGCTGACAATGGGCCCACTTCCAACACACGTTTCGAAGACGTGCTTCCTCACCGGCAGCTTTCGGATTCAACCTGCACCACCCCAAACATATAGCACCATATCGAGCCACACACCAGACCCTTCGTGGGACGGACTAGTTGGACCCACCGGGCCTTTGTAGGTTCGGCGAGCCGAAGAGAAAAAAACATCTACAAACGTCCCCGGTCGTCCCTTATCCTTTTCGCCATTGGTCTGCTTCAGATCGGCCCTCCACAGGCCTAAGTCCTTCACCGTCGACAAGGTGTGGAGGCTCGGGCGCCGGAGACTCTCCCATTCGGGAAGCCGGCGACCGGGAAAACGAGAAATGTGACTCGAGTGATGGGGCTCCAGCGCATGGAAACGCAGCTCATGAGCTCATCTAGTAACATCTGCATCCGCCCTCCATGGGGGAAATGGACCTTCAGTCTGGCCAGATTGCGGGCACTTAATTACAAGAGTCTTTGCTTGATTTTAAGTTGGTCCAACTGTGCATAGTTTGTCCCTTCTTTGGCGCTCGCAGGGTTTGGGAGGGGCCAACAGCCACCCACAATCTGTCCACCGCTTCTACATCCAGACCCGACTGGATAAGGGGGTTGCAACTTTCAAAAAACCAGGGGGTCTAAGCTTGGGTCGAAACTATAGCATCGCGAATTGGAATGCATTGGCAGCCACTTGCGCTTCGGCTTTCGTGGCTCCCATCGGATCGCGCCCGCTTGCGCCGCTTGACGAAACGCCCGAGCACCTTCGCAACCCACGTCGCAGCTGGAGATGCGGATGAACATGACTCGGCAACAGCCTCGCTTGGGGATGGCTCGAAGAAAGGGCCCTTTCCTCTACGACTCTACAGGTTGTGGATAGTTTTCATGAGAATGCCACAGAGAGAGGGAGAGAGAGAGAGAGCACGGAAAAGGAAATCATAGAACCCTCTCCACGTGCGAGATCTGGCACCAAACACCAGGCCGAAAAGCCAAAGACTGAAAAAGCCCCAGCTCAGAATCAATTGCTGGTCAAACTCGACCTGGGGACACCACCAAGATGCACCAAGTATGTTTGTGGAAACCGCTGTCAAGCTCGACACGTCGCGGAATTCAATCTCTTAAAGAAGTCCGGTCGCGGCTGGGTCCGTCCAAACCCCAAAGCACCGAACAAGCCGGGTACGCTTTTTGCTGGGTGGGTCTACCTCACGTACCACAGGAACCAAGAGTTCAAGCCTCCTAGTTCAAGAACCAACATAAGGGAAAAAACAATTACTGCCTCGGCCAATCAAAGCAGCCTGATGCCGCCATAAATCCCTGTGACAAGATCTTGGCAGCAGTGTCGCTGATGGTGCAGCCCATGAAGCTAATATCTCGCAAGGACTTGGAGCATTCCAGGCCTGCGATCAAGGCTTCAGAAGCCTCTTCTCCAATCGCCTGGGTGGAAAACCATTTCCCTCACTTGGATTCGGATGGACCCCAAATCCAGATTTGCAGGGCGGATCAGCCTTCATGAAATGAAACAAATTTGGAACTGTTGAGGGAATGTGAACCCCAATACAATCCCAGATTTTGTCGCCTGATCACAGTTTTCCGGCTTCTGGTGGGAGTAAAGCGAAACCCGGGTGAAATCGAGGGAACTTGGAATCTCGAGAAAACTTGGCAACGAATTAAACGCTCAACATCCACATGGTTTGAATAGGGGAATGCTCACTTACCGACACATCGCTTCATAATTATCTAATATGATCTATATAATATGTATAGAGAGAGAGAGAGAGAATTATATAGACACGCACACACAGGTCGACCCAAAAGCCATCCGGAGTAGTAATCGTCATTCTTCCAGTTCCGTGGAGTGCCCCAAGACCGGAGCAAGACAGCAGTCGGAGCAGTCTGAGTCGCGCAATGGTTGAAGTCGATAAACTTGAGATTGACGAAAAATGGCAAAGCCTCCGCAAGGAAAAAGGTTTCTTGCTCGGAGAAGTCGTTCGCTTCGAGGGAGAACCTCATTCCAGCCTGCTGATGAAAGACCTAAGCGGCCAACAGGCAGTGGGTTCCTACTAGATTGCACCTCGCCCCACAGTTGGATTGTTTGTAGATTAGACAGTTGCAGCTCAACTCTAGCAAAAAAAACACAACATATATGCAGTATATATATATATATATGGATACACATATAAATATGATGGATAGGCGGGGCACCTGTTCCTGCAGCTGCATGACCGCCTTTGCATCGCTTCGGTGTGTGAACTTCAAAGGCAGGCCACCAGGCTGTCCATGCTGGCCCTGTGTAGCAAGTGGTTGAATTCAATGACGAAAATCAACCATGTGACCTCAAGTCTCAAAAATGTATAAGAAGGTGTCCAATGCGAGAACAAAAACAACAGTTGATATCATTTGATGCAAGTGTGGAGCTGTGTGAAGCATGTGAGGGGCAGCAAAGGACAACTTCCCACAGAATAGGAACTGACCATTGTCCCTGCCTGACTTAGTTTCTTTCAAACACAAAAGAAAGTTTAATGTCTTTTGCTTGTGCAACAACGCCAGTACAAGGTCTCTCAGTCCTCCCTAGAAATGGTATGGTCAGTCCTTCCTGTAGCTCGGGATCGGTGGGATTGGGGGTCTTGCGGTCTTGATCCTCGAACCCTGCCTTGTCCACTCGCTCTTGAAATCTCTGAGGAGTCATGGGCGCAAAGCCTGTGAGGAGTCGTTGTGTGCTCATCCACTGAATCTCAGCGATGCACCATCCTCTCATGCCTCACTTGCTGAGAAGAATATCTTCCCTCCTGAAGGGGGTCCCCATCCCCCTGATTGTATAATTTAGCCTAGGCAGCCAGGATGGCTGCCTGTACAGAGAAAAAAGAAACAAGGCATGGGGCCTTTCGAGGGACAACTGCCAACCGCTCGGTGGAGACTCTCTGATGGTCCCAACGGCTTTTCAGCATCAGGATGTGGTGACTCAGGTGTTTTTGGTCCCAACAAAATACCACCAGAATAAAGCTCTATATATATATATATATACAGTCTTGGATGGCCACAGCAATATGCACAAAAGTGTCTTTGGCAAACTCATGCCAAAAGCAAGCTCTCTGATTAGCCCCAATCCCGGCAATGGAGAATCCCACCACCCCTACATCTTGACTATTTCTGATGGACAAAGAAGTTTTGCCAAGAAGCTGTATGGCGTGATGTTCAGTTCCAGCTTGCCGAATGGTTGAGGTCCGAAATGTCCTTTGCCCTGGCCCACGCCCTCCTCATGGTAGATGTCAATGAAGGCGGGCGCAAAGGCCAGCTTTTCGGAATCAGGCCTTGGCTGTCACTATCTGAGCGATGTGCAAAACCTCTTATGTGTTGTAGTGTGCACTCTTCCCAACGAGGTTTTATCGTGTTTTCTTCCTGTGGACCTGATCGCTCCTGAAGGTTTCCTTCACTTTGCTTACTTAGTCTTCACTGTAGTGACGCTGCCTTTATTGGAGGTTTTGGCAGTTGCTCATCTGAGAATACACAGCATACAAGAATGAACCAAAACGAGCACTGCACCAGCTGAGATACTCTGACGTGCCAACGGTTCTAGAACAAAAAAGGTAGAATCATAAGAGACAGTGATCCCACAGTAACCGTACGAAAAGTCCATTGCCAGTCCATAGATGTCTTGGAAGTGGGACCTCTATCTCTGGTGGAGACCTCTGTTCCTCTATACATTTTATACTTGGCGCATCCAAAACGTGGGATGGACTGTCCATCCACCAGGGCCCGGTGCTTACCGGTCACCGCCACGGATCGACGGGGTGTTTCGAACCGAGGCCGTGACCGTGGTGCGGTCCGACCACGAGTCGGACGAGTGGTCTTCGGATTGTACTGGGAATCTAAAAATGACCTATATAAAAAGCGTAAAAAGACCATCCTGATCAAAGATGCTTCCCCGAACTCGGGCTCCAACTTTCAACATCCTTCAACTAAATGAGTCCACCACTAGTTGAAACCAAGAAGAAAGTCTCACTGAGCCAGAATTGAGCCAAAGCGCGTGAGGTCCTCCAAGCGTATTGGTCGAATGTACGAATGGGAATAGAGTACATGCATGTGCGCCATAGCCCTTTTGAAGAACTCCTGCTCCTCTTCCGTCCGGTAGCACTGGGGCAAGCAAATGAAATCGACAAAGACCCACAGGACAGTGTGCTCACCTCGGAATGAGACATCGACATCGTAGAATGACATAGAAAACACAGGTCCTGGAACCAGCAAGTCGAACTAAGTGGTGGCCAGCATGTGGGAGTTGTGGGGGGTTGCCAAAACTGGCATTTGGGATTTGAGCCAGGAGCCTTAGAAAGAATTAATTTATTGGGCAGAAAAGAACGTGGACATATGTCGACATGGGAAGTCTGCATAAAAACCATGGCCCACAGAAATCTCTTCTTATAGGCAGAGCAAGAAGACCTATCGCTCTTAGGTTGGAGGCCATCGCTCTTAGGTTGGAGGCCATCGCCACTAGGTTGAAGGCCATCGCTATTGGGGGGGAGGCCATCGCAGTTGTGCGTCTCTTGGCTCGTCAAGTCACCAAGCTCCACAGCTTTCAGCTCATCCAGTTGGGCCACCAGGCGTCGCAGCTGGCTACCCCAGGGGTCTGGATGCTGCTTGGACTCCCAAACGTGTGACACTGAGACGATCTGCACTCGTCGCCCGGCCCAGTTGTGAAAGCCATCGGCCGTCCACTTCAAGCCCTGGCAGCTGTCAGAGACAAGATCCTATCCACAAGCTGAGCCCTATGTCAGGTACCCTTGCAGCGTTCATTGATCTTCAACTACTGGGGGGAACACTCTGGACATGAATGAATCTTTGAGGCCACTTCCTGTCTTGCGGACACTGGGGCCGCCAAAATGCATTGCCGAGAATAGCTGGAACATGCGGGACACATGAGGCTGTACACTGCGACTTGCGCGGGTTGCGAGACTTCATGAAAAAAAAACATCATCTGAGACAAACGTCAAAAACTTATCCGTGGGACACGTTTCTTACTATCTGATCCTACTTGAGCTATACTTATATCAGAAGATGGACGTATACTTAAGCCATCTTAAGCCCCGTGCCAAAGCCTCAATTGTATTGATTCATTTCAGGATTCTTGCTTTCAGGGCTTCATCCCCATCGTTTTGCATTTACTCTCGGCTGAAAACAGGATCTGTCGGGATTATCAGGAATGTGTCTGGGAGAACATCTGAGCTTTACAACAGCGTCGTTGTGTTTTTGCTAATTGTTGACATTTGTTTCTACCCGAAACATCCCGAAACCATTATGCTTAAAAATGATGGACGTCAAACCATGGTGCACTGCACCTCATAACTATACATTTGGAAGTGGATGGCTTGGCCGCTGGGCCTCCTCTATTATTAGTAGGAGTCAGGTTTCCCAGCAATCCATGTGAATCACGCATGCGAGTTGTTCATTAGCATGGCCCCTAGTTTTCTTCGTTCCCACCCAGCCACCCTCGCGTTTTCACGATCCACCTTGCACTCCAAGGGTTCGACCAGTGCGGTTCGTTCACTCCCCTTGGCATCGTGAAAGAGCTCCTCAGTGGGGTTCGTGTCGGTCCAGGAAGAGATTTCACCCCTTCAGAAGGACATGCCTCAAGGACCGCTATGGCTCAACCCAAACAGCCTGATCGGCGCACAAAGAAACTAAAGCCCGCAGGTTCTGGGCTCATTTTCCGTGAGTGCCGTAGGGCCGTAGGGTAGACGACAAAAATGGTGCGAGTCAGTTTGGAGGCTTCCTGCACATGATAGGGCTTCTAGTTACTAGTAGTAAGGCGCCTTGTTACTAGTAGCTGCTTGTTACTAGTAGTAAGGTGCCTTGGCAATGGATCCATCGGGAAATTGCCGATGTTTGGACTCCCCATGCGGTGCCCGCCCGCCTTCTCCGCCTCCTGGCGCCGCGGCCAAAGCCGCTTCTGGTGCAACAGGCTGACGAGGAACTCCAAGCGCACCAGGCGGATGTTCGCGTAGATCAAGAAGTCAATCAGATCATCAGGGCGCTCTAAGCCAAAGTCCTGGAACACGTAAAACTTGGTGTCTTCCACCAAGGCTAGCATCTGGTGATGAGGCCTACCCAAAGGTCTGGTTTGGCCTCCTGTTCTGAGACACCTCTGATGTATGATGTATGTGTAAGCTGATGTAAACATCCAACTAAGGGGTCAATGCTGCGGGCCGTCCAAGTTGGTTCAACCCATCACTGGAGGCTGGGCACATGCTTCATGTCCAATCATCACCCCAACCGATGGTCATAGCTGACATCTCTTTGATAGGATTCAATACATCATGTTCGATGGTATTTCGGACTCTTGGTCATATGCTATGATCATATCATGGCAAAAAAAGAATGCGTGTTCATCCTCCAACCACCAGGCATTTTACACTCAGACTTGGGCAATCGCTGGTATCCAAAAACACCTTCCTTGCCTTTTCTGGTCCGTTTCATGGGGATTCCCTCCTTCTCCCTCCGCTCTCCTTCGCCCTGAACATCGCCCCAACATCACTGTGCCAAACGCAAGTGACGCGAGAACGCCCGGTCTAGCCTATGCCCAGCTTCCCCCCCAGTGCTGAGCCGGAGTAGCCAATGTGTGGCGGGTGAGGCGAAGCCACGGGGTTTGGTGCAAAAGTAAACAACCAAGGTCTTCCGTCACAAAAAAAACATGTCATGCATGTGATGAACGTCAGGTGTTCTCGTTTGTTTTCGTGGTTTGGTCTTATAATGTCTAAAGAAATAAGGGTCAAGCAATGATGTACATGAACTCAGGATGTTAACCAACAGTAGCTGGGTGCTATGATGTGCCATGACCCAGACCCACATAGCTGGGTTCTTTACCGAAGATGTCCAGGAACTGGACGTGGCAGGCAAACATTGGCCACCATGCGCAATGTACACAAAATTAACTTGCACCGAAACCCCAATGTACACAAAGACGCCCGGACTGTTTTCAACTCCAAACGACGCCACTGGCGAACCGGGCGGGAACACTGACCGCGTGAAACGACGGTCGCCTCGTGGCCCCAGTCGTCATCGAAGTCCATCCCCTTGGCGCTCCTGGCGATGAGAACGGCACTGACCGGAAGGAGTGGAAACGGAGTGGAACAAAGTAGAACGATCCTATGTAACAATAACAGAATTGATAGAATTGCCAGCAACATGTGTATATATAAGAGGTTTGGGTTAAAGATAGTCAGTGTGTTTTGCATCCATAAGTTTCGAATCTGTTGCTGTGGCCAAGTTCATGAGAACTGACATCCCATTTGGGATGTAAGAACTGGTTGGTCAAACAAAGCGGGCGTCCTCCGAATTGGTGGCACTACTTTGTTGCAATGAATATTGGGGAGTTGCGACCGGCCTGCCGAGGGTATTTGATCGTTCAAAAGGGGGGGAAACAATCCATTCGACGAAACGAGGAAAATGACTGCGGAGTTTTGTCCTTGAACAAGATATCCGCAAACAAAACACACTTTGGGAGATCAGCATCCCTGCTTGAAGTGTCGGCACTGAGGAAACGAGCAGGTGACCAAACAGTGTCCAGCTTTGCAAGAAAGTGTGAACCAAATGCCACAGCCATGCAGGCGTCATCCAAGTGTTTCTCACATATGGAAAAAGCAAAATGTTGCTACCAAAACTCTTTGCGCGAATCTCTCGGAATATCTATGTGCCAGTATTGATCCGAGGGAAGGTGTCGTTCTTCGTGGCTGTGTGAGGCTTGTCAATGTCAATTGCTTTTGTTACTCGTGCCCGACACTGTCCATGTCATATCCCCAAACAAAAAAAATGTCATGAAGGGCTGCCAACTCATTGGCCCAGTATGACCCATGTATGATCTGTCTGCTGGTAACTCTAGTAACAATTTAACAGAGGACGTCCATGGATCGTCACAAGAAGGACGTTCGTCACATAGGATCGTCACATATATCCATGGGTATCCATGGGTATCGTCTCTATAATGAGTCACGTCCCGTCACAAGACTCGTGTCACGTCCCGTCTCTCGTGTCCCTCATCCACCGATCTAACGATCTCCGGTCTCTCGCCCGATCGACCGCGGGTCCTGGCAGACGCCGCCGGCTTCTCAAAACATTTGGTGCAAATGTCGTAGCTGCAGCCTGACGAGGGCGTTTTCCTGCCGCGCTGAGGTTTTGGGTACGGAGATTCCTCACGTAGAAACCCCGTTTTTCTTGTGCCACGGGCGTCAAGGTTCATTGCTTCTGGGTCACCAAAAAAGAAGCAGGGCAACAGGAAACGCCGGCCTGGAAAAGAAGAGCATTGCTGCGCCTGCTACCTCGTTGTGATATACCAAAAGGTCAAATCGTGCGAGGTCGGCTACTTCTTGGACTCGCCAGTGCGTCCAAGCTCACAGCGCCAGGAGAATCTCCAGAGTCTGCTTCGAAAAAGTAAATCGCAGTTTGTGAGTGTATAATTTATATAATAGGGAGACACCCAACCATTTGAGTGGTGGTCTAATTTCGGTGTCGGTTTCCCGACCATTGAGCTACACACACCAATTTTCGACGCTGCAGACTGGACCCCTCACCACATCCCTTGGTTACTAGTAGCCATGGCCTCCAACCAAATGGCATCCTTCCATAGACCAAACAAACTCTTCGCTGATCCGACCCCCACAGCAACCGATCTTCGTGTTTCCATGGCCCGCCTGCGGAACAGGAATATCTCCTCGGGCGCCGCAAAAACCGCCGCTTTCGGGACAGGGGATGTGAGAGAAAGATAGCATGTCCACCTCCTAGAAGTTTGCTGTTTGGGTGTCTTACTGAAATATCCCACCCAAAATGGTACATTAAGGGTTGTCATACTGTTCTTTTCTAGATAGTGACTTAGGTTACTTGAGTATGGTCATAACAACACATAACATGGCCTTTCTCACTTCCCTTTTTGAGCATCAATTCCTGTTCGTGGAGTTTTTGACCCACAAAAACACCGTCAGCATCCCCTTGTGTAATCAACACATCATCAACTGAAACAAAAGGATGTTCAACAACATCTGTCTGACATTTGTTTAAGTCCGCCACCTGAGTCTACTCGAACAATGACAAGTCACACCTCTTCCCTTTGGCAATTGCAGACCAGTCGGTTGCCCTCCAGTAGGGCAGGGTGGCAAAGCCCCGATCACCGGATCACCCGATCACACATGCCAGAACAATCATCCCTCGACCGACATCGAGCGGTCGCAAAGCTACGCCATAAAAACCCAAATGTTGACAGCTATGCAGTGCAAATGTTGACACCAACACGAGTGAAGCATATGAAGACACCTTTCACAGTGGCGTCTTGTCCCCATTTCATCCACCTCTTCCCCAGCCTCTTCCAAGGCCTGTCACCAGGTGTTCCACCCTTTCTGCGGAGCCAGGCCACGTCCCGGAGGCTTTGCAGAGGACGCAGCGCATCGTGGACCGCGGCTCCGCGCGCAAGGGGTGGCCCTTCTGACAGCGAGGTGCCTGGAAGCAAGGGCCAAGCAGTGCAAAGGATGTATCAATGGATATAAGAAAACCTACATTTGGGTGGTTTCAGAGGTCAATGTAGCTACATACACAAGGTGTCTGGGTATTGTATACGTGCATACATTTGGCTTGATCGGTTCAATCTGGATATTGCATTTGGAGGCGATCTGTTAAGAGCTGTTCTCATTTGACCGCCAGAGTATCTTGGGACCCGTTGCTTCTTGACCCACCTACTTCCAAGGAGGGCGTTCTTGGATTCCTCCGGAACTGCAACGTGCCTGCGGGAAAGGTGAACCTCGGCGCAAATGGTGCGATTTCTCCCAGCGAGGCGTCGAAAGAGTGGGGAGAAATCCAAAGTCGAGCGCCGAACACAGCGACACAAAGGCATAGCAGGCCTCATGTTCCTCAAGGAAGAAACTTTAGTAAAACCTACGGCGGATTGCTTTATTTTGTACGGATTTCTGTGGTGTTCCTTTCGCTTTGCTTCTTTTCTGGCAACTTATATATATATATATGTGTGTGTGTGTGTTTTCTGTGAAATTTGGGAAGGCCAACAAATTGTTCAGAACATGTTGGCAAAATAGGGTTACTGAGGAAATGGTGTTTCAAACAGGATGATCAATGCTGCCGTCCTTGTGTGGCTTTTGCCCATGCCCACCAACACTTGGACCACATCGGACCAAGGGAAAATCATGTTCTCTTCGCCCGGAAAATCCCACTCTCCACGCCCTTCCTGTTCCCGTTCCTCCGGGAGGAACGCTCGAAAGGTTGAACAACACTCCCACCGGGAACCACCCCAGCAGACGATCGCATGGACCCCAGAGAATTCACCCGCGGAGGACCACTCTTTCATTGGGGTTTTCTTTGTGGAGGACCACTCTCTCTGCAGGGAAGTACCTGTACTTGCCAGTCCCATGTTCTATCTCCCAACCTCTCTTGATACTAGTAGTAACAAGTGCATCGCTAGTAGTAACAAGTGCCTTACTAGTAGTAACAAGAAGCTAGTAGAAACAATAAGCTATCAGAAAAGATGGACGCCACTGTGCCCCGGTCGCCGTCTGAGGCGGCGAGGGACCACTGCCGCTATCCTCTTCGACGAGGCTGCCTGGGGCGAAGGCGAAGGGATCCGAGCTCTGCCCGGACAGAGTTTGCACCGGAAGAGATGAACAACGGCCACCGTTTCGGGGTTTTCCATGGTGCATCTGGAGGAAGAAACGTGTAAGAAAAGTAGCGGGTCTTGTCCATCGAACAGGTAGTTCATGGTGTTTTTCATGCGGTTTTACCATACTGAATGGATGGGGCCTCCACTGGTTGTAAGACCACAGCATGAGAAACCCACTTGACTTGTACGCAACATGTATGGCAAAGGCCGGGTACAGCCCTGCTAGATTCTGCTAGATACAACAAACACTTTGACCCCAAAAAGAGGTTGCATTGTTCAGAAGCAGGATGGGCGGATTCGCGGCAGATTTGGCTTTTCACACCATGTGTGGCATCATGTTGGGGCCCTCTTTTAACGTCCAAATTGAAAAGAAAACGACTCTCTCCATTCCAATCAAAGGATCAAGCATGGATTGTTTGTGAACACATAGAAAAAACTGCAAAAAAGAAGTTGGCGACAAAAAAACACTGGGATGGCTTGGAAAAGAACGCATCAAAGCAAATCCACCGGTTTGGGCCACCCAAAAACCTGCGTAAAACCCGCGGGGCCTATGTTGGCTCCCAGCGTCCCCAGGCCTCACCGGGTGCGATGGCCGGTGTGTGAGGTGTGACGCTCCTGAAAAAAGGAGGAAAGTTCACTTAGACTAGTTGCTTCAACCTTTTTTTTGTGGCTTCCGCCTTGTTGGCACAAGGGTTCTTAAGTATATCTATCAGTATCTCAATGCTCTTTCTCCCGCCCAGTTCTGGGAGAAAGGGTGCGAAAGTTCCTGTTGTTCCTTTCGTGTTCTGCGGACAAAAAAAAAGGTAGAGGTGTTACAGTCGATTCATCTCAAGGATTTGGAGTCCGGTCGATTCCTTTCGTTTGCAGAGGATGATCCATGTATGGAGATGTTGGACCATCTTGGTAGGAGGAGGTGGTAGAACTATATACATGCGTCTTCCCACTAAACACACAGGCTCCCTGGCACCCGGCTCCACTTCCGATGGTGCCGTAACATGTCTTGGGATGTCTTGGCTAAGATAGATCCTAAGGTGAAGGCTCAGGCGATTCACTTGCCTCCAAACGATGGATTGTACTCTTTAAATCTGCACGTGGATCTGACCCCCAACACCCATACATCATGAATGGGATGACATAGGCAACTCTAATTCCAGTTTGGCCAAAGGTTCTTCTTGGCTTGTCTGACCTCAGAGAAAGAACCGCACTCCCTCAAAAGGTTCACCAAACAACACCTGTCAGAAGCTCCTGAGATCTCCTTCCGACCGCTGGACCTCTATCCACTCCACCTTCCAACGGTGAGCAGCGTAGGTCAGCGCGCCTTGACCGGCCTTGTTGATGAGGCCGCCCACGGTGTTTTGGGTCCTGAAAAATGCACGGTGCTGCGGCGGGCTCGCCCCACTGGGTGCATCAGTTTGGGGTGGTCAATGGATGCATGAAGAGAACCTGTGGCCAGGTCACGGCGGCCACACGCTCTCGACTCCAGTCTACACTCTCGTGTCTACACACGGTGTCGTGACGGTCGATCTTCCAACTTCCAGGTCGGAAGGCTCACAGAAATATCATACCAATGTTCAACCAAACGGCAAAAGCTGTTCATCGGCTGTCTCGTCTGTGTCTTCGGTCCGTCGTGCTCAGGCCCTGACCAGCCAAGGCCCTGAGACACGGCTGATCCTTCCTGGAGTGCACACGTTCGGATGCTCAGGCTCAGGGGGAGGGATTTGAGTGTGGAGTAGAGAGACCCTCCTGGCCCTCTATTGTCCTTCTTCGCGGTCGGAACACCTGGTGTCGGTCTCGATATTGAACCAAAAAAAACACCCCAAAGGGCCCCTTCACTCGAGGAGGAACGGAACCGACTCCGTAGGTCCGGTAGGCGAAGATATGGCATGACGCCCTTGCCATCGCAAATGACATCGAGGACGGGAATCAAAGAGGTCGACACTCGGATCCTCAAACTATGTCTATTTCGATAAAACGGCAGGTCAGACACCAAGAGAGCCCCAAAAACGACGCAACGCAGCACGTTTAAGGCCGAAGCCGGCTCCGCCTCTCAAGTGCCACAGATCACGAGCGATCGGAAAGACGGCGCCACCAAGGCTAGGGCTCTCTTGAAGGGCTCTCTTGGGGCCCACACCCACACCCACACCCTCAGCCAGGCAGGTGAAAAATCAGTTCAGCTACCATAGACCAAAAAAGAGGGGACAAGGGGAAAAAGAGTCGCCAACCTCCACAACCATCCGCGCTCCGCATGTCGTGCGCCACGCAGCTCACACACCACACCTGGAGGGTCACATTTCGCTTCAAGCTGTCGAGGACATCGCCGTCCACTGACTGGGAGAGACGACCCCACCTCTCAGGTGTCGAGGACATCGCCGTCGGGGGTGGGATCCGAAGTCGAGCTACAACTTCAATGGTATTTTTTGGGGGTATCCCTTCCAAAACAGGCTCCACCTACCTGTTGAGAGGTCGGAGGGTGGGAAAGGCGCCAGGCTGCCAGGGAAATCGAAGTGCCGGCATCAACGGATGTGTAGACCCTGAAGGAGGGATCCTTCAGGTGGGTGAAAAAAGGGTGCACTTCTCCTGCTGGCAGATATAGACCCTTTTTCACCCACCTGAAGTACCTGAAGTCAGCAGGATAAAGTCTGAATTAGAAAGAAAAATCAGCAGGATATATATCTAAAAGATCATTGATCCCTTGGGATCAAAAGTCTCAATGATCAATCTGGATTCGGATGTCCAAAATAGAGCTATGCGGCGTTGCTGTGTTCCAGGTTGATGGATGTGAGAAGTTCTACATCCTGCGACATCGGGGGCTTTATCCAAATGAAAAAAGACCCAACCTGCATCTTTAAGACGTGGATGCCCAACCTGACTGGGTCCAATCTCCACAGTACCCACAGCTGGCGGTACCCACTAAAACCGCTGGTACAACTGATCGCCACTCTGGTGAGTAGCGCAACTCCCCTAGAGCCGGAAATCAATTGAAAATTTGACAGTTGGACTGCACTGAACTGGAATCCAACAACATCCAGCCGTAAAAGGGCTCCTTTTTGAGCATTTTTAGTGACGACGCCGGCGACGGCTAGGCCGTATTCGACGAATCGATGATAACTATATATATATAACAGTAACTTAATTACTGTAACTAGGATGCCATTGGTTTATAACTCAACCAAAGGATCCGGTGGCGGTGCGGTAGCCATTTCCGCACAGGTGGCCTGAGCAGTGAAGTGTCAGGATCTTACCAACGGGTAGACCGTTCAATAGTTTAATCACTTAAGTCCAGGATCAGGGGGGCCACTCTAAGATACAGGACATATGAGAATTGATAATGTCAATGACCTTAGAGTCAGTTGTATTCATGTATTCCTCAGGGTCCCAGTCAATCTGTAAGTCCTTTTTACCCTGTTTGAAACTTCCACTAGTACCCTGCCTTGCCTTTGAGCCGTTGTCCGCCATCAAACATGCCATTCAGCCCCGGTTATAACGTGCTGGCAACACTAAACAAAGTTCCTGCTCAAGCCAGCCCCATACACTCTTCTTTAGTATAAACCATCACTTAGGACTTAAGCCATAACAGCAACGCCAAGAACAGGGAACCCACCAATCACAGCGCACGAGCCGAGCCACACTCCGCCAGCTGCTTGACCCACGGAGCTCACCGTGCCCTGCGGAGAACAGGACGATTGTTTGCATGTTAAAAAAAAGCGGTCTCCGACCTAATGTATATAGACTCTTGATTAATAAACACCGCATATGAAGAGGATTTCCGATGGATTGTCAAACATTAATACCTTTTCACGATCAAATATAGTACCGACATACAAAAAACAAGGCACGTCCAGTTAACACGTCTTGGTTTTACAAATTATCATGAAGGTAGCATTTCTCGACGTCCGACCCTGCCCAATGCAAATGTGACGTACGAGTACATCCACCAGATGCTTAAGACCATGCCTCACGATCCTCCTTTCCATACAGAGTTTGTGCCACCGCCACTACCGCCAGACCTTGTCACACCTGTGTGGCCAAACCTTCCAAATTTGTCACCGGAGAAACAAGACGCTTTCATACAGCACGTTCGGTACGCCTTGTTTAGGAAAAAACATTTCGATACACTTAGTGCATCCAGGCCCCTCCTAAATTAGGTGCATTCCTTTGAATTAGCCGATGCCAGACTCGTCGTGTGTTACCTTAAGATCTTTGTGTGAATTGCCGTTCGGTCTCACAGTGTTCTTCTTTAGCTGTACAGATTACTGCCAGTTTGGATCATCTTTCACCCCCGACACTTCCACCAACACCCGCCACAATAAGTGGCAAGGGTATGCGTGGATGCGAATCATGCCCGCAAGTGAGTGCATTCAACTGGGGGTGGGTTTATTGAATCAAGAGACTACATTAACAGCGATGGCCTCCAACCTATATAATTTGGCGCAAAACACTCACCGTTCAAGCGGCCGCGACTGGTCGGTCGGTGTGTAGACGGACCATTGGAGGACCACACGGACCATTCATTAGAATCAGGGCAAAGCATCTTCCCTAAGACTCATGGCAGCATGGACGCGAGTCTTGAGCGGCAGCACTGGAAAGACCACTTTTTGTTCACCAAGCACCAGTCTGCCCTGGTTTTTGAGCTTTGTTGGGGTTCCCGCACCAAGTAAGGGGCTTGCCATCTCCAAGTTTATTAGCCTCTCTTCGCAAGCGCTGTCCCCTTGTACAATTCTCACGCGGACAGTAAACACACTGTTTCTTCAGAGACTGCTATCCCCTTCACGGTGCAGTGGATAGGAGCATATCAAGTTGACCTGGGCATCGCTACTGAGAACCTACACTGCTGAGAGGTGGTTTTCAGTGATCTTACGGTGGCCCTTTCTCCCATCCAACCCACGGACAACTGCCACAAAAGAACAACCCACCCACATCACCGGGTTGGTTTGTTCGGCCCCAAATTGATGCGTCGATCGATTGGTCTTTCCTCGTTGGTTCGGGCGAACAAAAACGACCCGCGCATGGGTCGTGATGGCGGATAAACCGACGGACACCGAGTCGCGAGTCGCGAGGTCGAGTGCACCTTGATGGTGTCGTGGAGATTCTCGTTTTCAACGACCTGAGGCTTCCCCCATGTTCCGCCGCTGTTCGGAGAGGGTCTGGCGTCCGCCCAAGGGCGAAGCGAGCGTGGAACACGGCGTGGAACACCGCGTGGGTGAAGGTGGCGAATGGGCTGACCAACGGGCTCCAGACAGGTACCTCCTGCGCTGAGGAAGTTCTAGGAAGCTCAACAGGAGGCGCCTATTTAGTACATCCTAAAAGGATGGTCTGAAGCCAGCCTGGTGTATCTTGAAAACTCACCTGGCGCCGACTCAAGTCGCAGAGGCCAATCAGTCAAAGAAGACGATCTCGACACGGCACGAATCGGAAGAATGGACAACTTGATTTCCCCTCAAAGGCGAATGGAGTGTGTTCACTCAGCTTCACTGTGAATGCCGGTGATGCGTTGGCGAAAAGTGTTGCAAACACATGCCAGTGCATACACGTGAGAGCTGTCCAGTCCACTTTCTTGCAACATTCCCCCTGCGCAAAGCGGGAGGATGTGAGGCCTTTGTGCAAGACTGGAGCGTTTTCCCTATGCCTCTCGTGCCGTTTCCCTATGCGCCATTTGGTAAGCCCAGTCGCATGAAAACACCAAACAAGCCGGGTGCTTGAGACTCCTGCACCACGTGCCACTTGGCACGCGTCTTACAGCGTTTCTCCACGTAAGCCGTTGGTGCGCGTGGTGCCAGCGGGCTATCCAAGTAGCCTGTTCCCCTTTCCCCGAGCCAGTAGGTACCGAGCCAGTAGACTCGGCTTCAATGAATGGACCTCCTTTCCATCCCTGGTAGCGTTCTGGTTCCTAGTATATAGTAAGGACAGGAGCCCCTAGTAGCGTCCTTGCTCCTAGTAGCGACGCCAAGAGCCCCTAGTAGCGTTCTTGTTCATATATATATATTTATATATACCAGTCACATGACTCTCATCCCTCACAGCGGTGGGACCCTCGTGTGTTGTAAATAGCACTCCCAAGTCTCAGAGCTTGATGCAAAGGAGGACCAACCACTGAGCACCCGTCAAGTCAAGCTGTTGCTTCTTGTTCTCTGTTCTTAGTCCATGTCTTTCACACTTGAAATCATATCTGGAAAGACAGATGGGGAAGATAGGAGAGGGTCTTTGGCAGCTGGGGAACTGCAGAGATGGGAATCGGGATGCTTCAGACTGAAGGCAGGCTTGGACTCTGAGAGGTTGGGACTAACCCCACAAGGAAGAGCGACCTGTGGTCTGTGACAACATGCGAGCGAAACATCTTCGAAACATCTTCCTCAAGCATGATGACATGTGCGACATCTTCCTCAAACAGCCTTTTCTTACGTCACAGCAAGCACAAATTACGTCCTTGTGGCCAGACGTTGGGTTGAATAGGAAACATCTGGTTGATAGATCTAATCCCGAACCAAAGGTTGATGGTCGAAAAATCGAAAAATTCCTCCACCATCGGTCCACCATTCCTTGGTCCTTGTATTGTCTTGAACACATTCTTATGATGTTCATTGATCTTCAACACCACTCAAACCATTTTTACATCCGGTCTCTGCAGGCAGGGTGTTCCACCCCCGGTATCCGCCGTGCTTTCCGGACTGAGGGCCCGTGCAGACTTCCGGACGAAGCCAACCTCGGCGGAAGGACTGGAAAAAACAGAACATGGGCCACACTGCCACACTCAGTGGTTGAGGAAAGCACCCTTCCTCCAGGCACCACGAATTTTCAGGTATTTGCCGGACGGAATTGTGCAGGATGTGTGCCCAGCTGTCAAGCTATGAGTCGACTCGTGTCAGAAATCATTGGACAAACCATCAAAAGACCGACCGTCGTGCCTTGGCTGAATACTGGTTGATCTGCTTGGTTCATACTTAGCTAGATACGGATGTCCTCCATTTGCTCACCGTAAATGTGTTCAAGGGCGGAGCAAGAACGATCCACTCCGACCCGCTTTGCTGATTCGTAAATCCATGTGTATAATATTATATCCTAATGCAAATAATCAGCTGAGCGCTCAAAACAAACAATCCAACAAACACAAGCTCCAGTGCCACAACTCCCCAGACTGTATGGAGAAAAATGCTCCTCCAAGGTAACCGTACATGATCTTCTGTCCATGATTAAATCAACGACACATGACCATTGATGGGTTCATATCCTGAATTCACACTGGTATATGTCCTTGGTCAATCTGCTTCTCTTCTTTGCCAGGCCACCTCCGCACCCGCACTGTTTCCGTGGCTCCCGTGGCTCCGCGCCGCTCCGCCCAGCAGGCCGCCCACGGCGCCCACGGCGCCGCTGGCCACGTCGGTGAAGCTGACGCCGTCGTCGCCTCGGCCGCCAGGGGCGTCGTCCGCGGCGGAGTAGGCAGGCGGTCGATGCAAGGAGTAAGTATGGCGGCTGGACGAGGTGGGTAGGGGGCGGATGTAAGGATTGGGTCGGTATGGCCAAGGGTTCTTTGGATGTTCTCTTTTGGGAGTTGGGGAGAAGCAAGGCTTTAACAGAAGGAGTGTTGGAATCGCGGAGATGCAGGTTCTTTCTAGTGCGGTGTCAAAGTTGGATGGAGGTTGGCAGAAGGGATCAAACAATCAGAAGGGACCCTGGAACAAAGAAGGGATCAGAATGGCAATGACGTCATCAAGTGAGGGCACACGGACGTGTCAATAGGCATTAAGTTCTAGGTGAAACGGTGTTCATCTTTGTCTATGTTCCTAATCAATTTGCTTGTTCGATACTTAAAAACAAAATGTCCCAGTCACCTGCATTCTTTGGCTTTGATGCCTTCTTTTCAATCCATGACCAATTCCTTCCGGTGGCGTCCCCCGGAGCTCTTCACCCTTCCTCCTGTCAAGCACATCCCCACCTGGCTGCGGATGTGAGCCCACCTGAGTGACGTTTGGGCGGCAGTCGGTGGGGTCGGTTTCCAACCACCCAGCGTCCTGTGCGTCCTGCAGGGTTCAGGACGTCGTGTTTGGTGTCGCAGCCCAGCCAGCCCAGTGACCCTGGTCTAGGCGATCGCGTGACCGAAGCACCTGGGATCTCAGTCTGGGTCACGAACTGAACCAACTCTGCAGTGATCCGTTTCGTTGCAATCACCAACATATGGCCAACACGCAGTTCTGATCAAACCAATGATGATGTCTAAAAGGTCAAACACCGTAAAACTCTAGGAAAAAAAAGAAAGCAGTCTCGCGATGTAATAACTACCAAAGTGAAGATCCACCATAAACGCTTAGGAAATGGTTCACCAACCTCCAAGAAAGGATCTCAAGTTGTGGTAGGATCTCTGGAACTCCCCTTCCATCAACTCAACTCACTTTTTTGCACCCAAGTCTGGTCGCCTTTTTATGTTACAAATTCCATTGAATCGTGCGTTCTTTCCAAAAGAGTCCAACAGCTTGTCGCACTGCTACCAGCCGGCACCGCCCGTTGTTTCTCAAACCGCCCCTCGGTTTCTCCGCTTGAACTCCGAGCGGCGCTGCTCATGGTGCCGTTGCCGAACTTCTGGCGCAGCCGCTCCCGCGCCTCTTCCCGGAGCTTCGCCTGGATGAAGGGGAGGCAGGTCCCAAACCAGGAGGGATCGGAGGGAGAAAATGGGGTATCCTACAGACCCAGAGACTCCATGGGACTGGAAGACAAATGCCCCCAAAAAGGAACCCCTTGGGAAAAATAATGACAGAAAAAACTCCAAGGTCGGCAAATATGGTATGCACGGAATGTCTGGAGAAATCATGAACTCTGGAGCACCACCACAACAACAATAACAACAACGAGAGGTGGACGCGCAAACTCTTGAATGGAAACATCAGGCTAGTTGTGCCCATCAACACCTCGTTCAAGCGTCGACGCAACATGCTAAATACTTCCGTAGGCGGCGAGAGAGCCAAGAATCTAACATAAACAATATTCAACAAATTCAATTAATTTAGTAATCTATTAATATGCACACTTATAGTTACTATGTGTGTTAAATAAGAGAGCCGTGGGGAGGACTCCACAACACACTTCTTCTCAAACTGCCCGCATGTTGATGTAGTGTACATTAGGAAGATGCATCAACTGTTGTTTCATGTTGTTTCAGACTGGTATGTTTCGTTCAAGTCTTTTTTCGTCAGTTCCAAACGTGGTGTTTTCCATGACAACTTCCACAAAGCCCTGTCTCTGATCTACAGAAGCTATGTTGAAGTCTTGCTGCACTCGGTCCTGATCGCCCGTTGGCCTGACGCGCATTGTACTGGTCCGTGGTCTCCCCGGGGAGAGGCCTCGGAGTGAAGGGAGCATCGATGTTCTCACGATCGAACCACAAATCCAGTGGATAGACTATGGACTTATGTGCACGCACATACATATATATATATATAAGTATATTGATGGCAACGTGCAAAGCTGCAAAAACACATGAATTGACACAAGGCCATGCCTTCCGATAAATCAGAACTTTTGAACTTTTGGTTCAGCTTTTGGCTTTGGCGGCAAGCACAGTACCCATGACCTACACTGTTACACCCTGTTGCTGTTGGGTTTAACAAAATCCCCAAAGCGGGGTTCTGACACTGGGGGGGACTTCTTTGAGGAAGCCAAAAATCCGAACAAACCACGTGAGACACAGTTGAGACGTGTAGAAAGGGTCTGTGTGTGTGTACAGTTCAAAAGGGTCTTCGCGTTAATTTTGGTAAAAGGGTCTTTGTGAAGATGGGCATTGTGTAAAAGGGTCTTTGACTACAACATACAACAAGTACCTTGACCACTAGCATAACCACAAGCAACACAAAACACAACGACCTTCCCATAAGCCTGTTCCTTGAAACGTTTGTCCTGGTAATTCATAAGCAATATAATTGATTGAAAGCAGTATGACAAAATCTAAATAGGCTTTAGTTCTACATGTCCCAGGTCTTGAATCGAATGTTGACCCTTCTTTGCCTCTCTTAAAAGTACCGTCATGTGGGGCTCAAAAGCCAATTCCGGCGGGTGACGTATCTACCACCGCTCGACAAGGCTGTCAACGCCGTGCGGAAAGCAGACCGCTCTCAGTAGCCTAGCTGATCTGGACATCAAGCGGCAGGTCTGGTTGGACTTTCGCCTGAAAGCCTTGCCAGGCTGCCACCCCAACCAGACCTGCTTGCACCGAAGCTGGCACCGTACATTGTCAGGCACGTGTGTGCCGGTCCCATGCCGGTCCCATGTCGCAGCGATGTGGTGCTTCCCGATCCAATTGTAAATCCATGCCAACGAAGGCAGCAAGCTTGGGATACTTCACCATGGCCGTGCACGGCACAGATGGACTCGGGTCACCTTTTGTGTCTGACTTTGCGAGCTCGGCATGTCCTGGGCATGTCCTTTCTGAGTCCTGGGCATGTCCCGGGCATGTCCGGGACATGCCCAGGACTCAGAAAGGACATGCCCAGGACATTGTGATGAAAGCCTGTGGTGCCAGCAAGCCCGCCTTCAAGCCTGCTGCTACGCGGACTCGGGGTCATAGCCTCGGGCTGCCATGGACCATCCTCACGGCGCTGCGGCACGAGGGTCCAACCTGGGCAACAAACCACCTCGATCACGACAAACCTGGTGGAAGAAATTCAGTTTTGGTACCAAAACTGCCACGGTACATCGGCAGACATCGCCATCGCTGAGGATGGCAGAGGATGCCACGGTCAGGTCCTGCCATCCGTCCTGCCATCCTCTGACATCCGCCACGACTGTCCTCCCTGGAGCGCTCTTGTCTCCGCTCTCTCTTAGTTCCCCGGCTCCGCGCCCTGTGCTTCGCTGACGCCCGTCACGGGGTCATAGCCTCGGGCCGGTTACACAAGACCGTGACGCGGTCGTTATTGACCCAAACGTTCATGGCAGTCGTTTCACTACGTTGGGGTGGCTTCAAAGGTCCTTGTGAGCATCGGTCATCTCATTTCATGGAGTCTCTGGGCTCGTGCGAGGACGCGGGTCGTCGCTCGCCGACCGACGCGTCATTGGTCATACAAAGCATCTGAGTCGACTTGCGAGTCTGGCTCCGAGTCTTGCTCCTGGAGGGACCACCGTGAGCCCAAAAATGCCCCAAAATCTGAGCTTGGGTGGAGGAACTGATCGAAATCCATCAATCGTCGCCCTGTTTTTTTCAGGCAAATCGTGAATCGATTTGAATCAGCATCAATGGCCGTCCTGAAATGTTGGAAGTCGATTCACATTGCACAGTTCCACAGTAACCAACAGTGATCAAAGGTGGTTTCAGCACAGAACTGTTTGAGCTGACCCCTCGCAAAAGCAGTGAACAACACGCAAATCACATATAAACACAAAGACTCACAACTTCTCACCAACCAGGTTGGTCGTTTAAAGTCATGTTTTTTCTGCTGGTTTCGATGTGATGTCTCTCCCCACGAGACTCCATTCTGACTCCCGGTGTCAAACGCAGACTCTTCCATTCCGAGCAGCGTCCGGGGTCCGGGGGCGGCTCTGTCTTCCCCTCCAGGAGCCGCGAAAGGCGCTCCTTGTAGTAAGCCGCCTGGTTTGAGGGGAGCGCCTGAATGTTCCTCTAGTCCAGCCTATGAGTCTTTGACGCACAGTACTCTACTCAAATGAAACATGCAGTCGACTAGGGAAGGTGCAGCTAGATGGTTGATGTTGAGGTCTGGGATGGCGGAATGCTTGTGACACCCATAAGGTCAGGGTATATGTTATTATGTCCCCAAAAGACTTCACAATACTCTTTAACAGCCGCTCCAGCGATTGCCCGCCCCCGGCTTTTGCCACTTGATCAAACACCCTGTGGAACACAAGCTCAACATGTTGGGTCTTTTAGTTGCTCAAGACTCAAGTGGGCAAAATAAAAAAACTTATCCTCCGCTCCTGGCCTGCTTTGTGTTGTACTTTTGCGCGATTCTCATTGATTTGTTGATTCCACGTGCCTGCCGCTGCAGTAGAAAGGATGCTGGGCCTTTTGCAAGAAACCAAAGGAAGGACATGGAACATATATCACCAAGTCCTCCAAAAGAGTTTGATGGAGGGCCTGTTTTTCTTCGAATAGTCTCAGGTACTTGACATTGACGCGATCACTACATCTCAACTTATACCAATACCTGACTCTACATCACCCAATGAATTCCTTTCTCATGCTTAAACCCCACCCATGACGCCGTCCATTCCGACTGAGTCCACGAAGTCCGGCAATTCCCCGGTCGGTGTCACAAAGGCACCGACCGGAGAGAACCATAATCACATGCCAACTCATGGATATATCAACCATGTATGTTGCTCCGTTGGAGATCGTAGACGTTGAAAAAATACCGTGCAAAAGAATGAAATGGTGTATATATTATATATATATATCTTTATCGGAATCTCTCCATTCATGACCAATCCTCCCCTTGCCCAAACTAGCACAGATTGCTTTCTCTGTTCACTCAAGCAGTCAAGACCATCTGAGTTGGATTAAACCTCAATGGCCACATTTCTGTTGGTGGTTCAAGGGCCTTCAGGTATTAAGCTTTGAACTCTCTAGTTTGCAATCCAAGAAACAATCGTCACTGGCATCACCATTGGAATATGTACGAAGGATGTGGACACTTACAACCACCCACACAAACAACACAAACGCACCACAGTGGTGGTCATTGTTCATTGGTCTCCACCATCCAGCTATAGTTGCTGTTTTTCAACCTGCCGGACCCAATTCCGCTGCTAGGGCGGGCGCCTCAAAAAATTCCACCAACTTCTGATTGCCACCGGACTTCTCCTGCCGCCAGCGGAACTGCGGAACTGGAGTGCAAAGGACATGAGCAAGAATCGGACCCTCAGGGAAGACCCGGCATTGATTTTAAGCTTCTTTTGAAAGGGTCTGTTTTCAACGGAAGTACTTCCCAGTGATTTGCACTACTTTTGCAAACCTTGGAGTCCCATGTTTCAGAAATCTTCACAAGTTTAAAACCTCCAACGAAAAAATAGACTATCAAACTCACAAGTTGACGGGTCGCAAACGGCTGCTAGGTACAAACCTCTTGCTGAGAGCTGCGCGAGGAAAACCCCCATGACGGGTACGACCGGGACATCAGGAACATGTTTCAAAACACTCTCTGTTCAATTGTCACGCGGTGGTTGTGGTTGTCCGCTTTGTCAAGCTTCAGGCTTCGACTCGGACCCATGGTGCTTCCGACCGCCCGTGACGCCGCCGGTCTCCATGGCCGCGATCTGTTTCTCGGTCCAGGAATCCATCTGGATGGATCTCACAAAAGAGAGGTGCACCTGGAAACCATTCCGTCAACTCGACTCCACACATGGCACCTGCCAGTTTTGACCGCCATTTTGTGTGTTTTGTTTTATTGTGAGACATGATGAAAAGGGACTATGGATGGCCATGGTACAACTACAGTATATGTGCACCAATCTTCTGGACACATGGGGAGATATTCACAAAAAGAACACATTGACATGATTCTTGTGATTGTGGGAGAGTTTGACCCAAGTTGATATAAGCAAACTTACGGTCTCTAAAGATTTACAAAGAGTCTATCAGCACGATCCCTGATATCAAATTCTAGATTCAAGTATCTTTCAAGTCCAACACATGTTCGGATCGATGTATTCAGAGTTTCTCTAATCTGATTCTTTGTCGGTGCAAACCGCGACCACTCCGACGTCACGAATGACCACTCCGTGGAGCCCTGCCCCCCCCCCGTTTTCAACGTGTCCACACCCAGATCTACCAATCCGAGAGGTGAACATAGGTCACTGAAAGGTACAAGCCTGGTGCCATTAGAGGCACATGCAGGGTCGGGGCAGGGCGCAGGCCCAAGTAGACGGGAAAAAAAAAACATTGGGCCCTTCCTTGGTAGGGGATTGGCCAAAAGTTGGAGGCGTTTTGTCCCGCAACCCCTACAGCAACTCGCGAATTGGCCCAAAGCAGGTGCCGCCCCACTGTTTCAATCCGTTGGTTGAATTAGGCCAAGGATTTTGACGAATCCATGTCCAACTCCAAGGGACAGAGCCATTCAAAAGACAGAAAACATCCACGAAAAAGCCAACAATGGCCACTTTCCATGCTGGGTTCCTCTCGATTCCTCTCGGTTCAAAGAAGAAACAACGAGACGAAAGGAACTGAGCGTCGGACACCGAGACTCCGGTGCTGTCCAGAGCATTCCAGGCACATCAGGGTGCCATAGGTCACGCTGGCCTGTGGAGGCGAGGCCGCGAGGCCGCGACGGTGAGCGACGTGGAGACGAAGACGCATGGCAGCGATTGGAAGTGGCGAACGTGAAGTGGGTTAAACACTCGAATCTGTATACTTGTAGTTTAAGTATGGTTTCAGTATAGATTGATATCAGATGTATATATGCAGGCATAGCACGCACCTGTGAGAAGCATATACACATCCCTCATCAGTCTGAGACTCTAAATGAGGCTGCTTCAGACCAAAACCCATCAACCCAAGATACCGGCCAGATCAATCAAAGCAATGTCGATTGGTCCTTACTCTCCAGGGGACTCTCTTGTAGCAGATAGGCTACTCTGAAGCCCTCCATTCGCAAGTAGTTGTGTCCTGTGGATGGTCTCATCAACAAGCCATGTCTAAATCATGAGCTACAAAGGCAATGTGATTCACTGACCCGAACAGAATAGACATGTAAGCTAGTTTGTTGAACGACACACCAGGTCGTCGTCGCCCGCAAGCGAAAAAAAACAACTTAAGACGTTAAGAGTCAAGGAACATGGACAATTATGGAGGAACATGGAAAGCAACAATAGAAAATGGGCAGCTATATGCAACTATGGAGTATATAACCTACTGGTCCTGTGGCATTTACCCTCAGTCGTCAAAGACGTGTTTCTTCTCCAGCCACAGTAGGCTGGAACCAAGCCCCACCAACGCCCCCTGAGCCCCAAACCCACTGTGGAGCATTGTTGTTGCAGTCCACACCTGGCCAGTGGCTCACGCTCGTTCATCATCAAATACACAGCACTTCAAGAGAGATGTGAACATGCTCTGGCTTCATGAACACAGTTTGGGTTGTCTCAGCTCTCTCTCTCTCTTCAGATTGCGAATGCGAGTGGGACTGTAGCACCTAGTGCGAGTGGGATACGAGACATGGAATAATGATAGACATGGTGAACTCGAACGTTTCACCTGGCTCATATCACATGAGACATCTGACTGTTGCCTAGGCACGAATTGCTGAAGATTGAACCTTGATTCTATACATATATATATATATGTATATAGCCCACACCCTGTAAAATGAACAGGGATGTTGAAGATCGACCGCAGGCATTTTGCTGGGTGTTTTGCACGGGGGAGGGGATTTATAGAATGGTTACACCTGGCGAACGGAATGAGAACAACGGCCCCTGGAACTGCAATGGCCCTGGCACCAGCTGGCCAGGACTCAAAATCGCCTTCAACCAGCTGGCCATGAATTACTTGCACTGCCCTGAACACCGCCAGCCCAAAAGCAGCGCCCACCAAAAGCTTCATCTGACAGTCAGCTTACGTCCAAGGTCGAACGTGAGAGGGATCCATCCACAGGAACCATCCAAGTAAGCTCACCCCGCCAGGAAGAAAAATCGTGACCACATGAGTCATTTGTCGGACGTGGACGTCGTGCCGTGGACCTACCGACACAGCGGGAGGCCGAAAAAAGACGGAGACCGAGAAACATCTGGATCTCATAGCACCCGGATCTGTCTTCGATTTGGTGATTCCTGGTAACCCTGCGATTTGGCACACCAGAATGATCTGAAAGAGAACTTTCAGACCGTACATGGACCGTGACAAGTGTAACCGTGGACCCTTCTTGTTGCTGCAAATACCCCCGCAAAAGAAAAGAACCAACATCAACCATCTGATGCTTGTTGCATCCCTCCACTGCCCCCGATGATTTCGCCAGGAGGCAAAGGTTGTTGCCCGGCATGGCTCGTATCCGGGCTTCGATATCCTGGCGCGGCGCGTTTGACCACCGAATCCGACAGGGTCTGTCTGGAGAGGCATAGACCAAAAGGGTGTACAATAATATGAATAGGGAGGCTACCCCAAAGACCCTGACGGGAGCAAACCCATGAGAACACACGCTAAAAACACAGTAAAGATATAGATCATAGATCCATATAGATCGATATAACTAGAATTCATTGGGCCCAGCAACAACAACAACCACAACCAATGAAACCCCCCCCAAACCACCGAAGTGTCCGTCCCCGGGGCCGGCAATGCAATCGTCATGGCCGGTTTCACCGGGGCCATGTGTTCGTACGTGGTTCACGTCTGGTGCTTCAACAGGGACTGAGGGTCGCTGGATCCAAAGGAATCTATCTATCTATATATCTATCTATCTATCTATCCATCCATCTATCTATCTATATACAAATATATGGTGGACAAATTGACTTCCCTCATTCCTATGAAGGCTACGCACCAGTCGGAATACTTGGATTTGCTGAAGGATACAGGAAAACATTTAAACAAAAAAAATTAACATTCCCCAGAAGGGATTCACACATAGGGATATTGTTTGAAAGAAAACAGTCCTATATAAGCAAATCCACTAATTCTAGCTGGAACACATGGAGCTTCTACCTGGAAATAGTCGGGAGAGCTCCACCACCGAAGGTCCATCAGCACCACTTCCCAAGATGACGGGGGTAACATGTTGGGACCTAACTTGCTTGAATTTGCCTAAGGGATTCTCCGAAAAGTTATCTTGGGGATCATCAAGCTACACATACAAGTTTTAAAGAAACATCTACACTCCGAGTCACCATGTTCCAGGTCCATGATTAGTTCAGACTGGAGTGTAACATATCACAAGGAATCAAAGAACACATTGCTCCGCCATTCTACAGCCAGGCTTAGATATATACTTGCGCCAAACAAGGCGGAGGAGATGCTTGCGCAGGATGACACAAGCGATAACGCTGGTGGAGTTTGCATCACGATGTCAGCCTATAACCAGCAAGGTGCTAAGTACTTAAGATGCCTGGATGTGTGTCAAAACCCAAGCATCTATGCCCAAAGCTCCTTGGATACATCACTTCCATAACTACCAGAAACCCAGGTAGGACCCACAGCCAAATGAAAATGCCAACGATGGTGGAGACAGACCACCTCTTGTTGGGAGACCTACACTCCCTGGAATCATCGACGGTGGCGGGGCCAGGTTCCACTTCCACGCTCCTTGGGCATCTGTGAGCCCGCCATGGCGAACCGAGGTGAACCAAACACGGTGCGGGTGATTGCGGATGAGCTGAAACCTTGGTCCAATGCTCTAAGTCTTTTAGAGGATCTATTGCGGTTGATTTGTTGTATACTAAAAAGGCTCTTCCTTTCAACAGCTCCAACGGTCAGTGACCATTCGATTCGGTCGGAAGTCCGGTCCCTCAACCTGGTGGCGCTTTGGCTTCCAAAATAGCCCGAAAAACACTTTGGCTTTGTCGCTTTGGCGACTCGTGGCTTTGGCGTTCGAGCCCAGCGCGCGCGGCGGTCGTGCCCGGCAGTTCGTGCGTCGAGACGGCGTCTCTGGGTGTGGGAGTGCTTCGTTGATCCTCAAAAAGGACCGGTGGCCGTCCATTGCTCGGACATCCTCAAATCCGAAAAAGAAAAAAAAACATAAGATACGATCAAAGACATGAATACCAGGCTGGTAGATAAGCCTGAAGGCAAGAATATGTCCAACACGACGGAGTGCTTGAAATTTCAGCATGATTGGACACTACCATGAAACGATGCGCTTTGAGACCTGACAAACAAATCGACATAGATCCTAGCTCATGAGTCCTGCTTTCAGTTGTCACCAACATCATGAGTTCTAAACAACATGTCAAACTTCAGGAGGACGTAGTATATATGACCCCATTTGTATTGTTTCATAAAGATACCTTTTTCATGCACATATGACACCTGAATCATACAGGTACAACAATGCAACAACTGAACAATGATATTGCTCCAGATATCCTATCAGGAAACATTGTTGTCCCACCTTGGTGTTGCTTCTTGAGCTAAACTCAAATCTCCTCACAGCACCGCAAGGATACCAGTACAAAGAGGCCGCCCCTTTGGGCCTTTGCTACTGCATGGCGCCTTCTCGGTGGATGTCTGGATCTGAAAAAAAGCCGTTCCCGCCGCACCCGGCGAGCCACACGGCTAGCCACACGGCTAGCCGGCACCACCTATTCCCCGGTCCGTTTGACCAGGTCGTTTGGGGCCAAGCGACTCCTCCAAATCGACCTTCTGATCACCGTCTTGGTCCATCTGCCTGGGCTCGGAAGTTGGGCTGAGAAGAGGACGGGGGGACGGGACGGCCCCAGCAGTTTTGTGGGGAACGACCCAAGAAGAGTGGTTTTTGACACTTGCCTGGGCCAAGAAACATCTAAGGATACTGATACAAAACCCAGTAGACCACATAGAAATCATGGAACACTTGGACTTGTTTAAGAAGGACCCCCCTTTTTCTCGGACGGAACACGCAACACGCACAGGGCCCCGCCCCGCTCGCTCCGAACTCGCTCGCCGCTCCCCCTCGCCTCTCGAAGCCCCCGACCTCGGTGGGTTCCAGGGAGCCCGAATACCTCCGGCGGAGCGGTGTCCAGCGGAGCGGAGAATTCGAGGCGAATACGGAGGAATTCCTTTGGGGCTGATGTCGATTTTGGGGGAACGTTTGGTACCCGTGAATATCAATGGAATCGTTCGAGCGTAAAGTTGACCGTTTGAATCACCTAAACCAAAATCTGGCAGCACAATGCGTTCTTAGTCTCTTGGCTGAGCGTGCTCTTGACAAATCCTACTTACAACACAACTATTCTTCATGGTGTTGCCATTGCAATATCCAATCAAGTAAGTATGTAAGCTTTTGTTAGGTGGAACCAGGTAACGAGGGTGTAAACTGAATTGGCCAAAGATAGTACCCGATAGACCTACATAATATTGTACGGCCCACAAAGGTTCTTGGTACCCTGTAGCCATCTATAGACTATTGTAGACTGTAGATATGCAGTATGTGTGTATATAATCAATGGCCATTCAGGTCCCATTCAGTGCAAATCCACAAGCCAACAAAACATGGAAATAAAACACCTTCCCAACAAAAGGTCCACAGTTTCAGGTTCAATTCTGAAAGCATCAGGTCCACCGAAACATGTCGCGATTTCCAGGCCGGC